TTAACAAGGCACGTTTTTTTTTATAGTGCCTCGCTAAAAGTGTAAAGATGACTTCTCTTGACTCGAGGGCTGGATCAGTCAGATAGGAATCATTCAATCAGTCACGGAAAGCAGGAGCCTTTGGTAGATCTAATCAAAGCTTCGTCCCTTTTTCTTTCTGGAACACTTTCAGGCTTGTTTATAGCTTTCAGATAGTCAGTTATTCCTAGAAATGTCTTCGTGGTATTGTGCCTTCAGGTTATTAGATTATGATTTTTTACAGAACTGGATGTCCTGTTGAGTGTGGTTGAAGGTTTTCTTACATTTTCCCTTTTGTTTGGAATTAGAAGATGCAATTTTCATATCTTTCTGTAATTAATTGCTACTAAATCAACATTAACTGGATATTATCTGGCACATTTTCTTAATTAAACTATGGATTATTAGTGTCTAATATAATCTCCATCGTCATGTATTTTCGCTGTTTCTATTTTCATCTGCAGTACCTCAGATTCATTCAACATTGCACTTTTGCTTGCAATGTTGAACATGACCCAGTTTTATTGGTGCACGAGACTCTGCAACCTCATAACCTTGTATTGTTTACTCGTAGCACCTGTGGTCGCTTTGTTAACAGGAAATAGGAAGTTCATTTACAACTTGCTCTTTCAAGACTTTGCATTGATGATGCTTTGTATATCAGTATCAGCAACATGACTTTTAATGATGGTGTGTTTGTCTCACAACATTGCTTTCAGTGCAACAAAAGAAGAAGCTATTTATCAGACACAATCCATCATGATAGCTGTGCATTATATGAACTGTATAACCCTTGCTACAGTTCAGTAAAGGCCATGCCCATGGTTTAGACACACCTTATGTACTGTACAACCATTGGGTCTCTGGACTAGGAGGGGCTTAGATATACTATATAAGAAAGCTATCCTCTTGATGCAAATATAGCTTAGCATGTGACTACATGCTCCATTAACGCAACTGGATTCCAATGACACAGAACAACCGTCAGCATGTACACAGGGCCAGCGAAGTCTCACACTTAATGTAAAGAGACAACTGTATATTCCTTTATATTATGCAAGGCTAATGCATAATATATTGTAGGACTTACATCAAGGTCAATTTGGAAGTTGAATTATTGATAGAAATTGGACAATTTAAAGGTAAATTCGTTTTTGATAAAAACAATTTTGATTGTCGGACTTGTTCGTCACATTGAAAAATTAAAGTACTAACATTAGTCCTTAGCATGACCCTGCCTCAAAAACCTCCTACAGTTCCCATAGTGCAACTCTGAGGCATTGTTCATATTGCCACCTCTGCCTGTTAAGTGCTCTCATCCTTTACTCCCCCTTTCTCAGTTTATGACAAAGTTTAAGACTAACTAAAGATTATCGCCCTCCATAGCAACAGAGGACGGAATGATACCGCCCATCCATTGTATGCCATTTTGTGTCAAATAGTTGGAGTTCCCCATTAAATACTATTTAAAGACGTGACACGGGTCACATAGCTAATGACCTCTACTTGGACGTTAGCCAATCTTCAAGCAGAATAGTTGTTACATTTTTGCAAGTGAGCCACTCCCCAACTATTGAATGTAAATGCCAGCTGTTGACAACCTGACGCTGGTTAACCAGTTAGTCAGATTCCTGCCCTGAAAACCAGCGCAGCATGATGACTGAAATATTTATTCTCACACATACTCTTTCCTCCCCTCTGTTCGGGACACTTCAATTATATTATTAGTTAGTTTTAGCGCCAGCAGGAGGGCATCATATAACTGCTTCTCCACTCAGGCTCCTTATTGTTTTCCCGGCCCCCCCTCGCAGAGAGCTACCTCTCTCCTTGTGCCCTGAATGTTTTTGTTTGCCCTCGCCAGTCTGCAGGGGAAGAGCCCTCCAGCTAATTAGAGAGTTGCCAGTGGAATTTCCCTGTGACAAAGGGAGCTATTCATGTCGGCCGGATGGTGAAAATGTCACACTGGCAGCAGCGATAGCTTTGCTTCAAGGAGTTAGCAAAATGAAGAGGCGTCACTTTGAAGCTCGTCTCCTTGCACCCAAATCAATGCAACGCTGCTCAGCCTGCAGCCCCCTCCATCTCTGCGCTTCTGTTTTGCCATCTATCATCTCCTGGTGCTCTGCAGTGTTGGCCTCTGTCACACAGACTGTCAGCACAGGGGCTAAATCGTTGACCTCCCATCTTAACATGTTGTCTTCTGTGAGTTGATCTGGTGTCTCCTCGGCGTATATCTGACCCATATTCCTTCAATGCACTTTATATTTCAAACATACGCTGCAAAGACACATTCCATTTTGCCGCCTCTATGTCAAGCCTTGTTTATACTCACGGGAAGCACCATAGGGCGGCCGTCCACTCGTACGCTAATCTCCGAATCCCCAGAGGGCGTACAAACAAAACATTCTGTGGAGAATCAAAAAGTCTTACCGGCAAAAGGCAGACCAAACATGCAACTTTTCTGTGCTGAGAGGTTTGCTCACATATTGCTACAATATTTATGGCCTTACTTTATCGTCTTCACACCATCCCTGTGAAGAAGGGAATAATTGGAATAACAATGTGTTGTGATAAAACAAAGATTGAAAGCTTTAATATATTGGAAACCATTTGATTTGGCTGGTAATATATTTATCCAAATGCAGATTTTACAACCTCCCTTTTCGAAATGCATTTATAAACAAGTTGGCTGTTTTTTAAAAATCATGTCACAATAGTGAGGATTCATTAATTATTTTACTTTAAATTCAAGTTTGTTTGCTTTTATCAGTCTGCTATTCACACTCCTGCCTAAAAACGAAAACAACTCAAATGCAATTACAGTCTGCAAAAACAAGAAATTAGCATCAACGCATTGTAACCATTTGCAAAATTAGTCTGAGTCTCCAATTCTATCCATGAAATATCCCTCCCCCCTCTCCACAGCAGCTCCACGGGGGAAATATATGTTTTATGTCCGGACGGAGCGGAATTCCCCTCATGTGGAATGTGAATTGAAACCCCCCCCCCCTGTCATATTTTCCACACATACCATCAAGTGTGCATTAGGAGAGGGGAAGCTAACAGTATACAGCATCAAATTGCCCAACCCTACTTTCCACACAGACATGTAAATGAAAAATGTGATATGATGTACTTTTAATAGATCAAACAACACAAGCACGTCACACACCAACATCTACATATAGTCAGACACACATGCCTTCCTTCCAGCACTTCCTGTCCCATGGGATCGTAAAGACAGTAACAGCCTCCTCTTTTCCTTCCTGTCTAAAACACCTTTAAGCGTGTTTCTTGCCTTCCTTTTTCTCACTTTCACAGATTTTAACACAATTTTCTCGCGTCCGTTTTCGTCTTATCATCTTTTACTTTTTCTGTCTCTTTAGTAGCAGTCTGTTGTGGGCAGCGTGCCTACTGACGCTCTTGGACACTACTGTTCATGTGGCATATTTGATCGAGACACAACCATAATGATTTTTAGCAGGGATAAATTGCCTTTGAATGCTTCAATACCTTTTGACATGTCCTTTTGGAATATGAAATGATCATCTTTGTAATAAAACTCAGCAGATTAGAGACATGTTGTGAGATGCAGCTAGTGTAACTGCAATCAGCTTTTCAATTCTTGCAATTTATAGGAACTGACAGATAGGAACTTAAGTCAAAAGTAATATTTAAAATAAGCTGAACTGAATTTACTCCTTTTTTAGCAAGTCACTGCAGTCTGACCGCCGTCTCTCAGTTCTCGTTTTCAAGCTTTACACTTTCTACTGCTGTTTGTTTATTCTCCTTTTAACATAACAACAGGTATTTTGTACCATATTAGCAGTTCAATTAGTGTATTAGGTCAAATTAGCTGCCTTGTTGTAAATTATTCGGATGAAAAGATGGCAATTATGCTCATTTGCTTTCTTGCCAAGAGTTAGATTTGAAGATTGAAATTTGTGTTATATCTGTCCAATAAATATGAAGCCAAAGCCAGCTGACACTTAGCAAGGCTTAGCATCAACAATGGAAAAAGGCGAGAAATGGCTAGCCTGGCTCTTTTCCCAGATAATCACCTCTGACTAAACGGCTAATTTACACGTTATGCACACAATTCCAAAAGATTGTCTGTGACTTAACAGTAAGTTTGTATGAAAAGAAGTAAAACTCCAGCACAAAACCTTCCCAAACAAAACAAATTAAACAACCAATATACATTTTTTTAATAACACATATCTGGAATCATCATAGTATGTCTATTGTTTCACTTTTAAACAGATATTAGCTGTTTTCCTTCTGCCCGGAAAGTTCCCCTGATTGTTTACCATATGGAAAATTGGAATTTCACCACACAAGATTGCTGCTCTAGCGTGTTATCCGAGACGACAGGCCAGTAAACACCAAAGTCTCACCCTACAGCTAGCAGCAGTCTGTAGCATGCATGCTAACATCTGCCTGACGTCAGTCTGTCAACGTCTCTAGCTCCTACGAGGACATTCAAGTCAGTAATGCTAGCAGTAGAAGGCTGTTTCGGCAGACATTAAAGCGTGACTGTGACGCAGGCCCCATAGATAAATGTTTGGCTTTCAAGTCAGACTGTGAGGTAAACAGACCGAGGCTTCTGACTTACATTTTCACAGAAGGAGGGGATGCAGAGAAATATATGGAGTGGAAGAGGAATGAAGGATAAAAAAGCAGCGGTCAAAAGGCAGTTGCAAAAACAAGGCCTTGCAAATAATAAGAAAAAGCAGGGAAAGAAGAGAGGGAGAGAGAAACATAGGAAGGAAAGGAAAAACAACAAGGAAAGTAAGTATGAGGACAGAGAGGAAAGAGGGGGGGGGGGGGGGGGGGGGAGGGAGGGAGTGTCCTCGCTGGCCTTTGTACTGTATGGCCTTGTTTGTTTTCTATATGCTATATCCCTCCCCTCCTCCTCCCGCTCCCCTCCGCCCTCTGTCTCAGCTGCTCACCCACCCTAACAATCCTCTTTTTATTTCTTCCAGGGGCGGAGACGAGGCGGACCACACAACGCAGGAGACCTGGGGAATCATTAACCGCACACAAAAACACACTATGACTGGTAGGTTATGTCTCCGCACCTGTTTACATGTATGCTTATGAGGCGGGTGTATACCCCACAGACTCGGCAAGAGGCTTGTACAATAATTCATCGTCTTTATACTTTCTGCTGTCAGCCTGTAAAGTGTCACATGTGCAGTATGTGCAGCTCACACACTCTCTGTGGCTTTGCTTATAAACACCTGCAGTGACTCTCACCTGTGCTGCAAGTACATTAAAGGTGTCATTTCCACTGCATATGGGATTGAGATGTACCTCTGATTTACTCAGTGAAAGCCCCTATCATTTTATTTGTGAGCCACTTCGTCATTCATTCATTTCTTGTTGTAGTTCCTTATTCATCTAGTTTGGGTGATTTATATTTGACACCGCTGCCTCACACCTTCATTAATTCGTCTCTTGTCAGATTCTTAATGGTTATTAATGATAAAACTGGTGGTAAGAGATCTGTCTCAGTGGAAATCTGCAAGATTGGGAATTGAAATAACCAAGCGACGGCTGAGGTTATGGAGCACCATATGCCAGCAGAATTTGGCTCTTATTTAAATTAGGTTTTTCTTCTATGACTGCACAAAGCATCTTCAGTAATCAACTTTTTTTTGAATGGTGCCTCCCATAGTCCTCTCCTCACTCTGCACAGCTGGAGCGAATGGGGAAGCGCATAATTGTGGTCTAATCCTGCTCTAAGTCCCTGCAGCATTAGGGAAGCAGCAGAGGCAGATAATGCATGGCAGCGAGCGGAGTGAGACGGAATAACCCCCAGAGTTGTTTGGACAGATGTTTGGTGTGAAAAGCTTTAATGGTAGTGAGCTCATAGTGGACCAAAGGGGACCGCAGTAAGTCACGGGTTCAAGTACTACTTGGAACTGGACTAGTGGTTTCAAGAAGAAGGTCGATATTTAGAGAGCGGGGTTGCTATATGTCAATGTTATCGTCCATTCTGTTGTTTGCTCAGTGAAATACTCTAAGTATATCATTATCCAACAGATGCACTGGACAAAGGTGATACTAAAGTAAAATACTAAAGTGTACTGAAATGTCATTTTTATTGCAGCCAGCTTTGTGTGTTGCTCAGATCTGGCTGTGCGGGGAGGGGTTGTAAAGGAGTCGTTACTATTGTAAATATGTAACTGTGTTATGCGTAGTTATGATGCCGTTGTAAATATGTGACATCCAGGGTGTTAGGGTTTAGGGCGAGACCCTTAACATGATGAGAGGTTAGTGACCCGGATCAACTGGAGTAAATGTTTGCTGTTGGAAACATTTTCAACCCTGGTTTATCAATTATGATGCTGCTGTATGCTACATTAATGTCACAATGAAACACGTTTTTTTTATCATTGATTCAACGCCTTAACAGTTCTAATATATATATATTTTCTACCTAGATTTTCCAGGCAAACCTACATTTCAACATTATATATTTAAGCAATAGCTTACGACAGGCCGTGGTATATGGCCATTATATCACAGTTAAGGGGCGTGGTTCGGCCCGACGCGAAGCATACATATTAGACAGAGAGCGTTGATCCATTATTTGGCTATTTATTTACATTAATGTGTATGTTGCCGTTTATTGTGCACCCACTGAAAAACTGTCCAGCATCAGTAGCATGGCTTACGTGGTTACTTGTATAGGTTGAGGTTGTTCTAGGCTGTTGCTTGGCGTGGCGAGAATATTGCTCCACTTTCTCCGGTCCCCGAGATTCGGCTTCCAGTAGCTCTGGAGAGAGCTTTCGCACCTGTGGCCACTAACGGTCATAATTTCTCTGCTTTGTTTCAAGACCCGCATCAGAAAGCTTTTGAATGGTGGTACCTTTCCAGTTGGTCTCCCTGCTCTTCACGTAGCTCTGCATGTCGTCGTTTAGGTGCTTTTTGTTCTGGAGATAGGCACTGCTCAATCCACTCCTCCATAGTAAGACAAGCAGTTTGCTTTTCAGCCCAACTGTGTACAGTTTTTCTCAGACGCGGAGGGATACTGACTTGTTGTGAAAAGTAATTTACAATTCTACCCGTGGTATACGCTCAGTATGTCACGGCTAAGAACCAATCAGATTGCTTGATTTGGCTTGTCCGTTTTATAATATGGTATTATATAGTACATAATATATCTGAAAAAAGGTTTTAAAGGGTTAAATGTAATTTGGACTAGATTACAAATAAGTACTTGACCAGTTCTGCTCAAATAGCAGATGGTATAAGTGCAACAAAAAAAGATTGAGGCCAAGACAAACCAGCAATTATACTTCGTCAATGTTATAAAAATAGGATACATATATAAACGAAGCGTTTATTTTAATAAATAAGTATTTTCTTTGTCTCTGAGAAGATATGCAAATTTGCACAAAATATCAGATAATGCGGCCTTTGTATACTTAAACATAAAACTAATAAAAAAACTTGAAATGAATTAAATATTTCCCTAATGCGAGTATTAAACTGGGGAATATATATTAGATACATGTTTCATATTCTCCTTGAGTGTCCCTTTTAAGCTATACAATATGTAGCAACTGCAGGGAAAAATGCAACTCTATACATTCTGTCAGGCAAGAGAGCGTCTTCAATGACACCCAGTAAAGTGAGAAGCCTTGGTGATTCATGATGCTTGTAAAAGCTGTGAAACGTGCTCCCTTCCCCACGGCTCCTGCAGCAACCTTCCACGCTGTTCCATCTGAAGCTTTGCTCTCTGAGTGGCCCCCCCCCTGGACAGCATGATCTCTGGTTTGACGAAGGCCAGGATGTGTGTGATTTCTCCACAGAACAAGGAGAGGTTTCGTTAGGCAATCATTGGAAGTAGTGTAACCGGGGTAAGGGGGGGTATTTAAAGGGGGTGAGCTTATCCCCAGGAAGTGGGTCTCTCAGAGCGGGGATGGGGGTTGTGCAGACATGAGGCTCACACTTTTGGGTTCAGGGGTTGATGTGCACGTACAGTATGTGTTTGTGCAGGGGGGTACTGTGCGTATACATGCAGCTGTGTGTCTGTTAGTGCTTTTGTGGGTAGAGGCGATGTGAGGTGTTAGGCAGGGGCACAGGCAGGCGAGGAGGTGGGATCAGTCTCCCAGCACTGGGCTAGAGGCAAGCATTCTTAACACCTCATAAATCTCACCTGGTGCTACAGGACCGCTGCTGACATGGTTGCTGCAGTACACTCACACACATGTGCCTCAAACACACATGTGTGTAATGTGTGTAGCACGCACATTATTTTAGTGGGCGCATGTGTATATATAGTATGTTTAATTGCACACAGGCAGTAAAGCAAGAGCCTAAAAAGTCAGTACTGTCAACAGTAGAGGCGAAATTTGAAAAATAAACTGATGGATAATCTATTACATTTCATCCATCTCCTCTTGTGACATACATAAGAACAAAGACAAATCTTTACAGCGTTGTAGAGGCACTGATTTTAACCTCCTGAATTAATCTGCAGCACAGAAGTGCAAGCAGACTAATCCCTCCTCTGATATGACCTGTTTCACATCACAATACACTGACTGTTGCTGTCACAATTGCAGGTCTCCCTTGAAAAAGAGATCAATGATCTCAATGGGATTTCACCTGGATAAATAAAGGAATTTAATTTAATTGAATGCCAGACATGGCGTAATTGATAATAATTACAGTGACATTTCCCGTTTCTCTAAGTCAGTTCAATACTATAGAAAAACATAATTATATCTCAACATTCACTCCTTTATTACCATTCACATTTGAACACATTATAATGTAATTTAATGAAATCTCATGCTAACAGGACTGTGCTTTCCACCGGCTACTGAGAGCTAACATTTACTAGCTGCCCCTCCTGCATATTTCAACACTAAAATAGGGTGTGTGGGGTCACCTCTGTCTTAAGCCCTACGTTAACTACGGTGCGTCAGCATGTGTACTTCAGTTTTTCAGAATGTTTTCATCAACTTGGTACCAAAGTATTGGTTCTCAGTGTTTCAGTTTGTTTTTGTAACCTTATTGGTCAATCAGGGTCCAAACCCAGTCTTTACTCTTAGTTGTTTTGGTTCTACAACTTTCTGTAAGTACAGCTCCGGGGCTCTGCACAGCAGCAAAACAACATATTTTTTGTTTGTTTGAAAAAAGGGAAATCTGCGTCCTCCCTAGTGGAAAATTACACTTAATCTCTCTTGTGCTCTATTATTTTCTTACCCGTTACGAGGCCGGATGTACTTTCACTGGTATTGAAGACAGAAGACAACAATTACTGGTGTGTGGCATTAGTGCACTTAGTTGTTCTTTCGCCTGTTGTTGAGTGTGTGCACTCAGTGAACTGCTGTATAGGACAGAATCAGTATAGTCTGAACCCATTATATATTCCTTTCTCGTGTACTTTTCTATCCTCTATTGGCAGCTGCACAGGTGGCTTATTACATGTGTACCATACACGCTGTACTGTACATGTACACTCCCCTGACCTCATGTGTTCTTTGTGTCTCTGTGTGTAAAGATTAGAGCCCCAGTGTCTCCTAAAGACGGGGAGGGATTCAAGGGTAAAGTACGACTTGGTCACCTAATGTGCGGTCAGAGGCAGTGCACATTGAAGTGTGAACACTAATGAGCACAGCTTATTAGCAGTTTCAGAAAAGAAAAGAAACTGTCACACCGTGCACCTGTTCTGTATTTTAAATTCAAAAAATGAGTGATGACAGATGTGCACACATGCTCACACACACACACACACACAGACTTGATATTGCTGACCACAGAGCCACGTTCAGTGAAAATGATGACAAGTAAGCTCCGTTCAAGTCTGTAGCATCCTGGGAACAGTCGAGCCTTTTCTTCCAATTAGGCTCCAGCAGCTCACCTCTCACAGAGAAGCTGTTCATTAAAAAAGACTTTCCCACTGTATGTTGCCAATGTTCCTATACATGTTTCCTATGGTTTTAAGGGCTGGACATTTATTTCATTTTGGGCAGACTATTGTCACAGCAGGGATAGTCATCAGGGCTCCCTTTTTGTCCCCGTCACTCACTCACCAGAAGT